TTTTTTTTTTTTTTTTTTTTGCTTTCTTTTACCAATTCGATCACAATAATAACACGAGTTATAAAACAGTGGGATTTCGATTAACCGGGTTGATGAAGAGATCGGCAAACAAGATAGATCGAGGCCTACCGGATGATCAAATCTTAGACAGAAATAATTAAAAACGTATTGTAATTCAAATATACATTATAAATTTTTTCATCTAGTAGAAGTAAATGGCAAAAAAAATTATAACAATCATGCAATCTATTTTGTGTCATCTTTTAAAACATTTCTTTCTTCTTAAAAAAAAAGAAAAGAAAAAGATTCACTATTAAATATAAAATTTAATTTTCAATCAAATAAAATTATATAATATAATAATAATTTCGTATTTTAATTTTCTTGGAATATTTCTTCAATTCTTGAAAAGATTGACCACGTCAAAACATTTAACTCGCAACAAAGAGAATTACAATAATCCATGCCCTCCCCTTTCAAAAAAAAGATCATCACCTTGGTCACGTCTCTTCAATCTTTTTTAAAAAAAGGAGAAGAATGATTAAGAAGCGCGAGAATTTAAAATTTAGTTTGCGAATTGTCCAACGTGGCCTGGAGGCAGAAGAACGAAACTAAAAATCTCCTCTCTTCTTCAGTTCGTTCAATTCTCGTTCCCCGAGAAAGAGAGAGAGAGAGAAAGAGGTTCGTTCAGAATCCCTCGGGGTAGATCGTATTCAACTGCTCCGTGGCTAAATTTAGCGGAAGGATAATTTACCGGATTCTGCTGAACGGCTCTTTTACGAGTGTTCGCCTTCTTCTTGGTCGGACATGCTCGTTATGGGGACTTCCGTGATCCCTCTCTCGAAATTATCCGACCTTCGTTAACCGTGGATCGTATCTATACAAAAATCCATCCCCCTCCCTCCTCCCCATCCACCCACCATCGGTATGTATATACTATGTTGCACATATCCGATGTATCCGTTCGGGCTTGGATTCGAAATTTTCTTCCCGTGAAAAAAATTTGTGAAAAAAGAAAAAAAAGAAAGAAACTTGAACCGGTTTTTCGCCTGGATATAACGCAACCAGCCTTCATCGCGAAACGAAGTACCATTTTACAGGTGTGCGGATATATTATACGTTTTACACGACGGTGTAGGATAAAATACATCCGAGGAATTTTTGAACGAGAAATAATTATTTCGTGGTTTACTATTTGGAAATAAACGGCGACCATCGTTTTAATTAAAAGGGATAAACATTTGGATCTTATAATATTTGTGTAAAATCTTCGATACGAGAAAAAGAAAAAAAAAAAAAATTGTAGATGAAGTTAAATTTTGGTAAAAAAAAAAAAAAAAAAAAAAAAAAAATTGTGGATGAAGTTAAATTTTGGGAAAAAAAAAAAAAAAAAAGAATCTACTTTTTTCTAAAATTAAAAAATATTTTTATGGTTTTTTTTTTTTTTTTTTGTTTTACCGAGTTTCTTTCGAATTTATGATATAATTCTTATCTAAAATTTTACTTATATTTATCTCACGTGTTATGATATTCTCATAGTATACATACAGATGTTCCATGTCTGGTTTAAATGTGGCGACTCTTAAATAATATTAGAAACGTGAATCTTATTTTGTACCACTCGTAAAATTACTCTTCTGTCAACCGGTTCGCTTTTGAAAGACAAATGTTCGTTTTAAAGATTTCATGTACTATGAACGTTAAGTTTATTACTCATTAAATGCTAGTTTTAGTTTATTGCCAAGAAGATTGAAGCTTTTGTTCAGGATGAGACTAAACGATCGGAATATCCAACGATTAGAAATAAATTATTAAGAAATAAACTCTTTCTCTATTTCTATTATTTTTGTAACTTTGAAGTGTAGAAATTCGAGCCAATCTTTGTAATACATATTTATAAACTTTTGCAAGTCCTCCAAAAAAAAAAAAAAAATATATGTATTACTTGTTCAAAAAGAAGTACAAAAATCTTACAATTTAAAATACACAGTTTCAAAACAGGAAATGCTTTTATCTTCGATGAATTCTTTTTGCATCTTATCTATCTTTCCAACTAGTTGTTAATCAATCTATGATCGTTCTACCTCACTGATTCCTGTCAACATTTCGCAATAGACATATTTTGAACGGCTGCGCTGAAGTATCAAGGCTCTCGTGTCACAGGTTTTACTGTCACATGCTTTCGAGATTACTTATTTAACATAAGAAAGGCGTATCTTGGATATAAGTGTATTGTAAAATAAATATATCAAACTAAGTATTAAATCTATTCACAACGATATAAATTTGTCAAAAGTTTTATTCAATTCACGCGACAATAATGATTGTATCGCATTGTTCGAGGGCAATTTAAAAAAAGGAAAAGTTACGACCGCCACAATTTTTCCTTTTCGATCATTAAATCAAAGAGAATTTGAAAGAAATCTTCTTTCTCTAAGAAAATCAAAATCAGCTTTTTTTTTTTTAATACTATTTAACAATATTCTATAAAATTAAAATCTGACTCCTTCGCTTGGATTCAAAAATTTGTTGATCTCGCGGTATGATTATTATTTATGATCAATATCAATGAAATATATCTATACTACTTATATCAGGATCAAATATCGATATTAAAATATCAATGGATATTATACTCGTTTGATATTTAATACAGTGATTGTAAAAATACAAAAAAAAATATTTTGCAATTATTTTTATAATATTGCCCAATTTTTATTTAATTATATTTGATGTAAGATATGAAATAAATAATCAAAGGCGCCACGGGATGGCGAAGATGAAGTGACTAGACAAGTGGCATGTTTGCCATATAATAGTCGGCTAGCTTAAATATAATTTAGAGATACCATTTAGTTGCATCAATTTCCTGGATTAAAACCGCTCAAAAATTAAACTACGAAACAACGTTACGGTACAGATTCGTGACGTGATATTGCAGAAACATTTTAGTAATTATCTCTAGCATTTAAGGCTACAATTATGATAAAATTACACAATTTACAACCGATCGTTTTCTACGAAATAATTCGCACATCAACTTTGTATACACATTTTCTTCGTTCCGCGTATTTTCTGCTATAAATAATTATCAAATAGATCGAAATTAAAGCGATATACACGAACAAATATTTATCGTGTTCCATTTTTATTAGCATTCCTGACAAGAAAAATCTTGATTAATTGAATCAAATTGGCAAACGATTATAAGGAAAAAGAAAAATGATTTTCCTTTAATAGAAAATAAATAAATTAAATTTAGAATTAAATTATATTTAGAGAGTAGAAATATAATGATTCTCTATGATGTAGAATAAATTTTTTGATAAATTTTATTCTAATTTTCTCTCTCTTTTTTTCAGGTACGGTGAGAAGCAACGAAAAGTCGACAGTCAAGAGCTCAGTGGTATACAATTGCTTTCTGCAACTGCTTATCAACTGAAGAAACCCTATCAGCAACTCCTCATACCGATCACAATATGGATCGGTATGGAGCAGGCGTTCATCGGAGCAGACTTTACACAAGTGAGTAATTAAGGCGCCCAAGAAATCCTATTAAATGCTAATTTATCGCATTATATATAAAAATCGAATAGTATAGAATATAGAACAAGAACTTCATTTTTCTTTTTCTTCGATCAATCCTCACGTTGATATCGAAAATTGAATAACAATTAGTACGTACATGCATCGATTAACCTTTGCATCAATAATTTACATCCAGTAAAATACATCCAGATAACAAGCAGGTAGTAAGTACATAAATAAGTACTTAAAGTGCACTTATACTTAGAATTACTATGAAATTAGAAATTTATTATTTTTCATTCAAAAGATTCTCAAATCCATTTGTATCATCGTTATTCGATCATCATCGTATTTCGAATTATGTTCCAAGTTTATAATTTTATTACCATTTATAATCACTGAAATTAGAAATTGAATAATGTCGAAAACATAATGGCCTATATAAGAATTAACAGCAACAGAATAGATTTTAATTCTCTATAATCTATCCCAAAAGGATAATCCCTTAAGATTCTTTTATCTTGTCTCCTTCGATACGATAAATTTAACAATGGGAAGGAATTAAAATAAGATTTAAAAAGATATATAAGTTATTACACGCATAATTTTCAAATTATACATGGAATTACAGAGATTTAGCAAGAGAGTTTAATAATAAAGGGGTTAATAACCCAAAGACTAAACTTTTTTTCATCAGAAATTCGTTAATCAAGAGTTTTCAAGAGTTCAAGGATATATTGTTTGCCGATTTCTTAACAACTGGAGGCAATTATTTACGAGTCACGAGGCAGAACAATCGAGTAACAACTCGCCCACGCTCGGTAGAAAATGAACGAGCCTGTTGTCAGAGTGGAAACTTCATTTCGATAAGGCCATCGATTACGAATAGCCGATTATGCATTCGAGGATGAATCCTCTTCGAAGGAACAGACTGAGAATGGACGACGACGGTCTCATGATCGACGATTTAAAAGTATAATAATATTGGTTACAATAATGACGATGCAATATTATCCATCGATTATCCAAGAATTCTCGCGTTGCTTGTTTCAGAAAGTTACAACACAGATTCGATCTTTTTAGATTAGCTAATACACCAAAAATAATTCACAATATTGATGAAACAAAAATAAATATATTTATTATTCATTTATTTATCTATAAGGATAAATATTGGATTGTAAGATGAGATGGCATGGCTAAAATGATCCTATTGTTTTTTTCTTACTAACATTTCTAATTTTTTCAATGTTCTAAAAAAATTTTGAAAAAGTTCAAATTTATTTGCTGAATCTTTACTTCATTATCCAATAGAATACTTAGAATAATTATTGAGAATATATTATTAGATTATTGAACTACGAGTTTTTTTTTTAATAAAGAACAACAAAATTATGTTAAAAAGAAAGGCAAGTATAACTCGATCAAAAATAATCTAATCTGTAATATGAAAATTCATAAAATTTCTCTAGATTCTATGATTCATACATTATTGCATATTTTACGCAATATAATTTTTACAAAAAACTTGCACTATCTTAAATTTCATCTTACAATAATAAAAATATATCCATTCTTCCACAAAAAACATTTAATGATTATTATAATTATATAATTTTCCTTATTATTATAATTTTCCTCATTAAATCGATGAATTAAATCGCGTCGTGTTTAATCATAAAAATTCCCGCGGTACAAAAAAAAAAAAAAAAAAAGAAAAGGAAAAGACGCAGTAACAAAAATAGACGCTAAAATCATTAATGATTATTCTCATCAGATTCAACAACAAAAACTTGGCTAGGATCACCCGGATACAAACCGGATACAGAACGGCAGTTCATGATGCGTAACGGCCATACGAGGTCGTGCAATTGTTCTCCGGAAATACATATTACTGATCACAGATATGCTGAAATATCGGCTGAAGCACGCATCCTTTGGCTTTAAAGCGCTGAATGACTTCAAATTATAACTTGTATAATATATACGATTCTCTGTGATCGGGGAACGCTACTGTTTAAAAAGCACGTGACGTGTATCGGCGTTGATCGATTTGCAACACATTTTATAATTTTATAAAATAATATGAATTATGAATTGAAATAGGAAGAGTATAAAAAGCGAATCTTTGTCTATAATTTTTCGATAAAAAAACGAAATTAAACCAAAAATCAATCCAAAGTATGGGTTACACAATACCACCATATATAAAATACGGTTAATCATCGATAAATAAAAATCAATAGACTAATCATAGCTAATAATAACCCATCAGCTATAATAATTATACACAATAATAAAACTTCGAAACCACGAATATCTCTTTATCCATAATTTTTCAATCAAATTACACCCCATAGAAGATAAGCAACTGATGGCCCTCCCCCCTCTTGTTGCCCCTTCTTTGATCGTTGTTATACATTCGCGCACGCAAAGAGGAGGGAATGAAGAGGAAGAAGAAGAAGAAGAAGAAGAAAAAAAATATAGATGATACAGTTTGGAGAAGGCAAACTTGTCCGAAACCAGTTCGGTGATGAAATATGCGGGCAAATTGGGCAAGGAATAAAGTGATTCGGCGAATAAAACGCTACTGGAAAATATCAGGACGCGCGCTACCTTTCATTGGATCAGCTGGTTCGACATGTTATAAATAGCCCAGAATTTTATTCTTGCGGCAATTCCCCGATACCACTTCCATACCGGGAATCTCGTGAACCAGTATTTCTTCTTTTTTTTTTTTCTTTTTTTTTCTCTCGTTCTACGGGTGCATCGACGATGCATAGCCTGGCCTGTGCAGCTATCAGCACGGCACGATGTGGCTAAATGAAAGCGCGTAGAGCGAATCCTCGTCGATGAATTTTCCTTCCAATTTTAAAAGGAACGTTTTCGTGAAATATTTATCTACTATACATTCAATGACAACGATTACATTAATTTACGAAATTTATTATTACAGAATATATATATATATATATATATTGAAAATTTATGATAGAAACCTTCCATTTATAGATACAGTTGTTCCATAAACGAACATTTATTCTCGTCCTCGCAAATTGTTGCGACATTTTTATAATCGTGATACTTTCCTTTTTTAGGCTTATATTTCCTGCGCGTTGGGCGTGCATCGAGTTGGCTACGTAATGATCTGCTTTGGAGTTGTGAACGCTATTTGCTCCTTGGTCTTCGGTTCTTTAATGAAATTCGTCGGCAGGCAGCCACTTATGGTGCTGGGCGCCATCGTCCATGTTAGTCTTATCGTCGTGCTACTCCACTGGAAACCGAATCCCGATAACCCTTATGTTTTTTATTCTGTTTCTGGACTTTGGGGTGTCGGTGATGCTGTATGGCAAACGCAGGTGAACGGTACGTATTGCAAATTGATATTTTAACGTGAACATAAATTTTGTATTTTATTCGTTAAAGTTTTTTCGCGAAATTATTTCAAATTAAAATTAATTTTAATACTTTTATCAGCTTCTCGAAATATCTTTGAAATAACATTGACATGCTTCTACGTATTCAACAAAAATTACGGTTATTTATTTCTAATCGGGATAATAGTACAATTATATGTACTTGTAATTAGTGTAAAATATCATGTGTAGTGTAACTTTACGTCTTAGATAAAAGATACCTTGACATGAATTTGTAAAGAATTATTAAAGAGGATATTTTTTTTTTATGTTATTTATCTTGTACATAAGTTGTAAAAATATATCTAAAAATATTTTCAATCGATATGATTAAGTGCGATGATTAAGTGGCGATTACACAGAATTGTAGAAATAAAATTGTTTGGAAAAATTTTGCAAAGAGATATTTAGCCTTGTTTTGAAAAAAAAAAAAAGAATTATTGGATTATTGCATTATGGCATTCAGACGATTATATGTAACTTGTAACACAGATTTTATCACTCGATGTTTATTAGATTTTCCTATTTCAATCGAATCTGATCACAACGAATCTATTCTTTAATAGGAAAAAAATCCCTTTTTATCAATCAGATAATGGAAATAAATTAGATTATGATTATCTGAGGAGATAAAAGATTTTTGACAAAAAAAACTTGGAATTGTTCAAGCAATGGAGAAAAAAATTAATATCTAATGTATCTTAAGTTATTCATTTCCTTTTTAGCAGTTCATGAAGTAAATTCAATCTAAGTTGTAACAATTACAATAAATTAATAGATATTTGCTACAGAAAAAATATTTTCTACATCTATAATATTTAATAAATTATAATAGATCAAATTAAATTTGATAATTTGTATTCAAATTTGTATTCAACAACTGTCCTGCATTATTCTCGTCAGTCTCGCTCAATTGAATTCCACGCAACAACAAAATTCTCTAGATTTATCGCTTCCATCCGATACATCCTTTATCCTGTAATGATGTCATCAGTTGTTTACAGATTTCTTTTCAGAGTTCTTTCGGAAGATTTAATGTTTTTTCTTTTTTACGCTTTGTAATTTAATTATTTTCTTTAACGCATATAATTATTCTTATAAATATTCTAAATGGAAATATAACCAAACAAATAATTTACGATTTATCCTTTTATCAAAATTATATAAATATCCAGAATCAAATCTTCTGGCATTTTCGTCGTTTTGCTACCAATTCTCTTCGACACATGATCACGATGCATCCTAGACGTTCATATGATATTCATCCACATACACACACACACACATATCGTTCTGCGAATCACGTTTCATTCGTCAAACAATAGCCCAGGCAATCGTTCGTTCCATTCTTAATCAATCGTCATATCTATTCCCATTTATAAAATGTCAATTTTCTTCGAACTTATACCCACTCTATATATATATATAATAAAATATATTTTACGTACGATAAATTAACATGGAAAGATTTAAAAACGAAATTTCTTCTTTTCCAGGTCTGTATGGCACCCTGTTCAGGCGTAACAAAGAAGCAGCGTTCTCAAATTACAGACTGTGGGAGAGTGCCGGTTTTGTGATAGCATACGCGTACAGCACCCATCTATGCGCCCGTATGAAGCTGTACGTGATGCTAACAGTGTTACTCGTCGGAACCTGCGGATACATTGTAGTCGAGCTGTTGCACAGGCGTAAGCAGAAAAGGCTGAAGGCCATCGCGGAGGATCCAAAGGCTGCTCAAGCAGAGGCGAATCAAGTGGAGGAGACCGACGATGAAAAGGACGATATCGACGACGATATCATTATAACTCATCTCTGAAACAACATCGTTCACCGACGAGGAATCTCATCAGTGACTTGATCGACTCTTCTCTTTTATTCTTCCTTATTGCTTTTTTCCTATAGTAACGAGCATGATTACACCAGCGGCAAATATGTATATGTATATGATACATCATCCGATCCTCGATCATCTCTGAACGAGTGATCAAAAACCCGTCATGGAATAGTATACCATGATTGTTACCCGTTTATAGGAAGCGTAAGGATAAATATTTTTCTTTGGAAGAATGTAGAACAGAAATTAGATAAGATCGGTGATACGAGTAGGGTCGCGAATCGAATTATTGTTTTTATTATTCGTATTGCTGATACGACGTGATTAAATTGTTGTACATTCGTCTTAAGATGAATCGTGGCTAAAAAAAACAAAAATATCGCAGGATATGATAAGATAGCCTAAGATGCTCTTATTAGAGCGCTTTTTAATATTCTTTTTCGAATTTTTTTCCCCCTCCCCTAGTAGATTGTTTTTATTAATTCCATAACTCTATAAATTTCATGTTAAACGCCTCGTTAATCGTCATGTTATATATATCGTTGGACTTGTTGCCCACGTGTTTTTTCTTTTTTCTTGCATCGAAAAACGAAAAAGACAAACGCATGTAACGCGACAAAGCTCGCGGACCATTGTATTAGAAACACGTTCCTTCGGTTCCGCCGGTTTTGGAAACCGAAAAAGTGTGAAAGAATGAAAAAGAAAGAAATCGACTCATACAAAATTGATGAGGGATAAGGAAATGCGCGAAATGTGTATTACTTCGTGGATGTGTTGTTATGCAGTATGTATCATTTTGTAGAGATTCTATACGACGATTCCATTGTCAACAATAAAACGAATTGCTTGCCTTCACGGTGCTAGAAGCGCGTTCCGATGCCATAATCGTTTTTATGCGTTTTATAACTAGCGTTTA